GAGCTTGTTTGGTAGGGATTTTTTGGGGGAAGAATTGATTTTGAATAGTGATATGATGGGAAATGTGTGGTTGAAAAAGAAGAAAAAATTATTGATGTGATGGAAAATATTATTTTATTGAAGAATGTGTTGTTGAAAATGAGAATTGATTTACTGTAAAAAAATTTAATTCCTCCCAAACAGGCCCCTAATAAGGTTTTAATGAGGTAGCATTTATTTTTAATACTCCAAAATAACTGTATTCTTTTTTCTTCGTTTTAATTTTTTTTGTCTTATTGAGTTTTTATCAAATAAGGTTTTAACAAGACAGATATTTTGTAATATGTCATTCAAGGGGGAGTGTTGTACATAATAAGTTATTGGTGAATGACAATTGTATCTCTACAACCGTAGATATTATTATCATATATATCCATATTCCTTCCCTATAAATATAGAATTTTGATTATCATTATAAGACACACAAGTCTACTGACTTTTATTCTCTTTTCTATTTTCTCTCTTTTATAAAGAAAAATTTGGGTGCGTTTGATTGTAATGGTGGAAAATGGGTGGAAAGAAAATATTTTATAGGGAAAATATTTGCCTAAAAACTGTTTTGTAGGAAAAATGATTTCAAGTGTATTTGATTGGCATAATTTTTCTTCCGAAAATTTTTTAAATTTTCTATTCGTTTGGCTTTGTTTTACATGGAAAGTGTTTCTTAAAGTGATAATTTTTTCCACAATTGGTTATAAAATTTGTTTCTATTGCCAAAAAGTAAAAAAAAAGGGGAAAAAAATTGTTTCTTAAAAAATCATTTTTTTTTCAAAATTTAGTGTTCGTTTTGATTTTGTTTTAAATGGAAATTGTCCATTAAAGTGTTTTTTTTTTTTTTNAAAAAAAAAAAAAAAATTTTTTTTTCTAGCCAACCTGAAATTTTTTTTCCCATTCATCAAAAATTTTGCCTATAGCCTTATATTTTTTAACTCAATAATTTCGTATTAAACCCAGATAATTTTTGGAGCCCTTTTTCACCAAATTCAGTAGAAAGATTTCTTTTTCAATTTCTGTCCAAACCCCTAGATCTTTTCAATCGCATTCACTGATTTTATCTTTGTTATCTATATACGAAATCTTTCTCTTTGGGTTGTAGGATTGAGGATAGATATGAGCTGGAGAAGGGTGGGAAAGGCAGCACAGGCGGTGGCAGCGCATGCTTTGCTTTTCAGTTTCACGGTTTCGCTTGTTCTAAAGCTCGATCATACCGTCTCCTACTCTTGGTGGTCTGATTTTCTTTACCCAATTCTTGTTTTACTATTTTTAATTTATTGACGTGTTTTTTATATAATATTTTGAGAAAAGACTTTTTGTTTTGCCATGAATTTTTGTTAATTGTTATTTGATTTTAGGAATTCCGGTGGGGAGAAGATTTCCCTTTTGTAATATTTCTTTTTGCGAAATTGGTAATGGGGTGTTGAAATTGGGGGAAACGAGTCTTGGAAGATAAAAATACGGCACGACTGCAGGAACTCTGTAGGGAATGAGTGATAGATTGCATGTATATATTTTTCCTATTCTTTAAAGGGTATGTTTCCAAAACATGGGAACCATGTGAAATAATTCTACATCATCCTGATCCATGAATTGCCGCATTCGTTTGAGTTTAGGGTTTGTATAATAATTCTACTACCGTGTTTTTTTTAGGGAAAATTATGTGGAGAAGAAGCATCACCATCTTAATAAATAATTAGAAACAAATTCAGGGTATTAATCTTTGAGTTGTGGAAGTCGCAAAGGTCACACATTTGGAATGCATAAATATAGTATCTTACTATTTATTCATTCAAAATGTACGAGTCCCGATCCCTCTCGTTACTGAATATTTACCCCAACATATGCTAACAAGTTGGAGCACATGGTAATTCGAAGGACTGATTTTTGTTTATTTAGTTAAAGTATAAAGTGAACAATGTTCGATGAGGTAGTTAATTTGGGAGAAGCCAAAAAAGGTGGGATCATTTCCTGCTTCATAGAGAGACTTTTTGGTTAAGATAATAAAAAGGAAGAAAAAAAAAAGAGTAACTTTTTGGACATTTGGCGTAGTTTATCCAATATACTGGAGTAATTCTATTTATCACCGGTGGTGATTAGCAGTGGTTAATGTGTCAGTGGGACGACTGTCACATTGTCCAATGAATAAAAATGCGTCCCAATTTCATTGGACAACTTGGTAGTGGTCCCACCGTCACATTGGCCGGTGAATTCCGAGACTAATACTAGGGGGTGGGGGCTCAATTCATGCTAAAATAACAATAGAAAATCCTGAACTGAAGAGCATAGAGCAAAACTATTAAAATCTAAAGAGTGAAACACACTTTGACTCCTAAGTATGAATTTTAACAACCGAGATTTAAGCAGTTTATTGTAAAAGTACAACAGAAAAAATCCCCGAGGATCAGGGATTTTGTGACATCAGCATAAACACCTTGTGATTTGCTCCAAACCCCTCCACATATAAAGTGCCAAGTTGCCCTAATTTTGAGCATTTACATCAGAGGATGGTGGAGATGGTTGTAGCAAGAGGATCTCCTGTTGGTGGTGGATATGGTTTAGGCAACGTATTGATTACTCATCTGAAAGAAAGAAATGCAGGATTTTACTTGTATTGCTGATGTTTGTTAACATCAATTTTGCGTGGTATATTGGCAATTGTAGATCCCCAAAATCCTATGCTTCATCTTCCAATATCTCGTAGGTATCTAATTGAAATTTTGTTACTCTCTACATGTATTCCCGCGCCACGCAGATTATACACATCATTTTGATAGTTTTTCAATGTCAATACATGATTTGATGTCATCCTCAATGATGATCTTAAAAACATCTAAGATATCTTCACTTTTGTTTATGACATGTCTCATTCTATTTCTTTAATATGCAGGATTGTTTTCTTTCCGCTCTGGCTATTTCATGCTGTTGTTGCCCGAGGAAGATTCTCTCTACCTGCTCCCTCTGTTCCTCATGATCGCCATGTATGCCAATATTTCTTCTTATATTCTTGGAATGACATTGTCCATACGAACTTTGCTAGTCTGGTGGAAGTTGCATCTCCGTACCAACACGTTGAGCGTTGAGCATGCATCATGATAGTTTTTATATATTTATTTGGTTATTAATTTATGTATTTTTGTCAAACATTTGTGGTTAGTGGGCACCATGTCATGCTGTTGTTGCTGCGCCGTTTCTTGTTGCATTCGAACTGCTTCTTTGTATATATCTCGAGAGTGCATATGGTAAGGAAGCAAAACCCTTCAATAATTTTTGGTACTATTAGGGAATTGAATTTAACTTTCTTTTTTGTCCTTGTTTATTGTCTTCCTTATGAATAATGTTTCTATCATTTTGCACAAAATGAGAAGATATTTTTACCTTTGTGGTCGTAGTCTACTTTTCCCTTCCTCATTCATAATTTGCGATATGTTGGTGACATGCTGATTTAATTGTTTTAGCCTTTTAGGACGAAATGCCATTCCTGTCATGTCATAGAATTATTTGGCGGTTGTTATTGGTTTTACAATTTATTAATTTGTTTCCATGATGCAGCCAATCACTCTGCTGCAGTGAACTTGAAAATTGTCTTCCTTCCATTGTTGGCATTTGAGGTTATTGTCCTCATTGACAATTTTAGGTACGCTATCCATTTGATTGTCCATATTTCAGTCTGCTCTTTACATGAAAAAAATTTCTCTCAGCATGTGCAAGTTCTAGTAATTAATAATTATTAGACACTCATGTCATGGATTTTGATTGATACACCAAAATACTGTTTGTAGAACATATTTACTGAAGCAAGTTGTTTTTCTAACAAAAATAACACTGTGAAAGAAAATTGAAATACTTCAGCCTTTTGAACAAGGCATATATTTTAGTGGGACAATTTTCATAATTTGATTGTCATGGAATACTTTGCTTTTACCTTACATATTTCCTATTGATGAAACAGAATGTGCAAGGCTTTATTACCTGGAGATAATGAAAGCATGAGTGATGAGGCAATATGGGAAACTCTTCCTGTAAGTTTTTTGATTTAACAGAAATAATAAAATATGCCCGACCTAATTCCTACTTTGTGCTTAAAAGTTGTTCAATAGTTCTGATGGCTGCACTTCTATTATTGCATTCTGCAAGTTTAGCCAGTGAACCGGATTCTAGTGGTTATATTATTGTGTGTCACAAAACAAGTTTAAAATTTTTTCTTGTGACGTGGACAATGTGATTTAGGAGATTCAAATTAATTATTGATTTTGCCATGAATACTTCTAGATTTTCATTTCAGTTTGTTTGGTTTTCAAATTGCTTTACTAATGAGAGTTTCATTGTAATTAGCATTTCTGGGTGGCAATCTCCATGATTTTCTTTCTTGCTGCTACAGTGTTCACCGTCCTGAAGCTGTGTGGTATGTCTCTCTCTCTCTCTCTCTTCCTCTTTTGTTCTATGCATGCGTTTCTCCTATGATTCACTTGCCATAAAAGATAAAGAAAACAAGAAAAATTTACATGCCATAAATCTGTAATTATTATAATTATAAGTTCTGATGCTGCTTATTGTTATAATCTTCTGTTATGTACTACATTCCCTCCTCTTGTTATTTGTTTCGATACAACCTTATCACAGATCAGCATTTTCAGAGTTCATATCCTTTTTCTGTGCAGTAATGCTATATCTCCTTTAGAATCAAAGGTGGTCCTTAATTATTTTGGTATATATAATACGAAGTCCTTGTTTATATTACCCTGAGATCCTTATTATAAGTTTCTCTAAATCAATAAAGACTATATGCAATTATTTCTTCTTTGTTGTTTATTTTCCATTAACCCCCAGACTAGGCAAATGACTTCTGATGTAAATGTTCCTGGAATGAAATCAAACTGGTTCTCTATGCACAGTAGTTGGGCGATCCTTCGTGGTTGGTGCAGCTGAGGGAAACAGATGGCATTTTTGAGGTTCTGATTTTTTATCTAAATAAAATTCATTAGTTAGGCAGCCCCTAAATCCATTGCCCAATGTTGCCTTCATTACTGAATAGACAGGAAGTAAATTAATGAATGGCCTCATTCATGCAGTCATTATGATGTTTTTTCTTTCTAAGTTTGAAGGAATGGAAATATGAGAGCTCTAATTCTGGAAATGCATGGTTTACCATTTTTATTCCATGCTTTATCTTTGATAAACAAAATATAAGATAATTGGACAAACAATCTCACACAACTTGCATCCCTTCTTTAACCTGTGTTTTCCGTCCAGGAATGAATGAGGAATGTGTTGTTCATTGTTTGTGCTGCTGTGTTTGCTTTGGAGTTGTCGGTATTTTCATCCTTCAATTAGACATTCCAAAGACTCAAAAACTCTTTGGTCAAAGAGGAGAAATATAGCTGTAGTATATAGCATCAATTCCATCATTGAGTGCAAATAGGGATATGAGAGGGGGTGTGGGAAATTGCTAATACTATGGGAACAGTATGGAGTGAGGCTCTGAAAGGTATAATGAGAAAAAAAAAAGGATTCCTTTATACCGTGTGGACAAAGAGAATGCTCAAAGATGTGTGGTGATTTCATTATTGAGAAAATTGATGTTCAAAGGGTGGTCAAAAGTAATTGGAAATTTATGTTGAAAGCAATATCAATGATCTGGATGGGAGGAAAGAGTATTGTTGAGTAAACATTTGGATTCTATTTTTCCTAGGAGATTTCATTAACTATACACATGAAGGGGGAGAGAGAGAGAGATATGATAACTCAACCAAGCCTTCTGATCACAGTTGGAAAATGAACTGAAAGAACTAAAAATGTTTGTAACTTTTATGTGACTCCTCTAGGTAATGAAGAGAGAACAAAGGGAGAAATGGCAATAGAATTTAGGGGAAATAATGTTATTGCCAGTCTCTTTGTATGTGTGCTTTACTCAGGGTCCAAGTTGTTATATGATGTGTACTGTCTTTTTTGGGAGAGCATATGCTCTTTTGCCCCTAATGAATTTTTATCGCGTTCCCCAGTTTTCGAACCCAAGACCTCTACATATGAGAGATTTAAATCGAATCTTGCACTTTTTTTGTATCGATCCAGCTCTATCATGCGTATCGTTCATTTTGGGAGAGCCTAAATCTATCTTACTCACGGCTTTCTATCACATTCCCTAAGATTTGAACCCAAGACTTTTGTCTTATGATAGACTTAAATTGAATTTTGCTACCGATTGAACGATACGATTTGTCTTCTATGCACAAGTTGTTATATCATACGTATTGTCCGATTTGAGAGAGTTTAACTCCATTTTACCTTTCATGGTATTCTATCGCATCCTCCATGATTTGAATCCTAGATGTCCTCCTTATGTTAAATTTAAGTTGAATTCTTACACCAATGAGCTACGTGATAGAAAGCTCTAAGAGATAAGATGAAGTTAAGCTCTTCTAAAGCAGACATTATTTATAATATAACGATTTGGGCACAGTGGTCCTAGTTGTTACACCATCAGATATGGGAGGTGTTCTGTCGGAGCTGGTGTTGAGTTGTTTTAAGGTTTTAATTTGGTTTATTAGACTTTTGTAGTCCTTTGAACTATCCATTCAAGTGCTTGCTTCGTGAATTCTTAATTTCTCATAAATTAAACTTTATTCTTGATTTCCAATTTCCAATTTTTTTTAATTTTGTAGGTGACATTGTTGCCCTTGGCTGGTGGGACTTGTTCATAAATTATGGGTACTATTCCTGGCCTTGAATAGTCTTTTACCTTCACCCTTCTTTTTTTGGGCAGCAATGCTAACATTTGGCTTATTTTGTTTTTCTATAGTATTGCAGAGTGCTTTGCATTTCTTGTCTGTACAAAATGGTCTAATCCAGTGATTCATAGAAATTCTCTTACTAGAGAAGCAAGTTCATCATCAACTGCTATTAGATATGTTGACTGGAACAGTGGCTTGGTGGTATCTTTAGAGGATCAATCTCGGAATAGAATGTGCGGCCTGCAAGACATTGGTGGCCACATTATGAAAATTCCAATAATTGGATTTCAAGTCCTCCTTTGTATGCACCTTGAGGTATCAATTAGATGTGTTGACACCGTGGCTATCCTTTGGAATTTTTTATCAACTAAGTCACAAATGGTTTTGAATCAGGGAACACCACCAGGTGCTAGACACATTCCTCTTCCAATTCTCTTTTCTCCTATTTTTGTACTGCAAGCTGCTGGGCTCATGTTTGCTGCATCAAGATTAGTAGAGAAAATTGTTCTTTTACTACAAAGTGAAGCTGGCAGAGGAAGATATTTTACTTACTCTTCAAGAGTCCTTCTCTCCTTCCCGCTCTCAAATCTTCGAAAATATTGGCTGAAAGTAACTCGAATCCACCGACCACCAATCAACCGCTCTTCACTTTGACGCCGGAGTGGTGTTTACAGCTTTACAGCTTTCCCGAAATCGGTGTTTACGTCGGAGTCGACGCTCGTTTTACAGCTTCCCCGAAATCTAATCAGCTTCTGCTCTTCTGGAGTTCTGCTTCTGCAGCTTCTGGAGTTCTTTCTTCACTCTTCTGGAGCTGGACCAGGTCCGTAAGTGGTAAGTGGACTGGGCGATTTGAGTTTTGGGGATTTCCTGATTTTTCTAATTTCAGTTTTGATTTTTTCTGCTCGTAGTCGTGTAGTCGTATGAATCTATTTGTACAGCCTGTTTAGATAAATGATTATAACTTGATTTGGTCAATGAGTTGGTCTGTTGGTGAATCGGTGATGCTTGTAATTTGTAAACCTTGATTTGTGCCTGATGCAGTAGAGATTGGGATAATTTACTTATTATCTAATTCAGGTTTTGGTTGGAGTGCCTTGCACTAATTTTTCATATTTGTGAATTTTCAATCAGGCTGCTTGGCTGGTGGTCATTAGATGAAGCAAGTCGAGAGGAACAGCCGAACAGGCACGCCTCTTCCATGACGGTGTCTCAGGGTAAAATATCTTAAGCCATGCAATATCTGTAGACATCACTGCTGGAAGTCTGTTTATGATCAAATGCTGGGTTATTAAGAAATCACATCTCATAAATGAGCGTAGCTAGAATGAGATTAAAATGAGTGTAGCTAAAGTGGGATTAAAATGGTGCAAATATGGTAGAAATAAGAATAGAGAGAATTAGAAATGAGCATATATTCTCAATTTGTTAGGTGGCATCCATTGGAAGTTAATTGTGGTAGAATTGTTTGAGATAGTTTGGGCACATCCAGTGACGTCCTTTAAATGAAGAGGTCAGGAAATTGTTGAACTTGAAAATGATAAACCTAGAGGTAGCGGGTGATCTAAAATCACATACAACGAGGTAATTCGAAAGGATTCTAGCATTTGTGGTTTAACTTTGGACTTGATAGAGCAAAGTGGGAAAAGAGGGATCATTCAAGTATTATGTGACCTTATTGCCAGGATATGGTAACCTTCTAGTATTTTGTGATTTTATTGCCACTATATGGTAAGTGTCCGTGAAGAGACATCCTTAACCACAAAGGGAAAACAATGTGCCAGTACAATCTGAATTTGAACAAAAACAAATTCAGTCATAAAGAGAAAGCTATGAGGCTGCCAAATTTATAATGAATAAAATCTTAACCAATCTATTTTGGGGGGTGGTTTTCTAATCTTTTTGGTGGGAACCATAGAGTTTAAGAGAAACTACCATAATAAGTCGGTCATGGAAATCTGTGATCCTAATAAAAGAAGTTTGTTCTTGATTCACTTTAATACCGTGCACTTTCTTTATAACAAGCAAATAACATGGCAAATGGATTACTGCATTTGTAATGGAAGGTTACATAGCTGCCCGTTTGAGCCCTCATTTTTTAAAAATTCATTTTTCAAAATCATTTTCAACCACATGTTCTCTCAATAAAATAATTTTAGCTGTAAACCAAAAACTTTTCCATAATTTTTAAAACATACGTTTTCCAAAAAAAATAAAAAAATCACTATTTCAAAATCTATTTACCCAAAATTGGGGCTTAAACAAACCCAGGGATAACAAAAAGACTTGTTCAATCGATACCGCCCCGAATGTGGTGGTATTGCCTGTCAAATCGGGCAAACGGGGTGGGGACAGGATGGCAATCGTTGCCCCAAAGCGGGTATGAGCCCCTGCTACCCGTCCCGTTTAAAGTTAATTTTAAATTTAAGTATTTTATCAAGCTAAAAGAAAAGATTTATTATAACTTTAAAAAAAAAAAGTTGTTCTTAACAAGTTAGAAAAAAAAAGTAATAATATTCACTTAAAAAAAAAAAAAGTAAAGGGGCGATAAATTGGATAGGGGACTTGCCTCGCTCCGAACCCACCTCGTTCCACTTTAACTGGATATGGGAGCGGGATAAGGTAGCAAAAATATCCGACGGGGTAGGGGATGGGAATGGCCGACCCTCTCCATACCCATCCCGTTGCCAGGCCATATGTATCATGGGAAGTAACTAATTCAGCCTATTGCAAAATGTTGGGCGATGCGAGTTGCTGTGCTTTTTTCTCTCGCATCTTTACAACTATTTAATTTGATTTGAGAAATATTTTTTGATTGCTTTTCTTCCAATATTAACCTTGATTCAGTTCTTGATTTGTTTTCAATTCCTCCCATAACAATAAACTTCGTTTGTGTTATATCTTGCATCAAATCTTACGTGATGCTACTAGTTTAGACGGTTCCATGTGGTAGTTTAGCATAACGATTTACTGTTATAAATTATACAGTTATAACACTTTTTGCGGTTATCCGCCCGATATAGTGAAGAAAATGCCGAAGAAGGATCTTGCTGAGGAGGTAAATATAATATCTTGTTGCATTTATATTTCCATGTAGAACATTATCATCTTATTCCAGCATACTGCAAAGTTATGCATCTCAGTTTCTACATAATTATTTTGTTCGATCCTCTTGTTTTAAGGTTTGGAAACTTCAAGCTGCTCTCGGTGAGCAAATGGAAATTACTAAATTCAACCAACAGGAGTATGAAAGACTTCAACATGTAACCATCTTAGTTTTGACTAATGGTTTCTTACGTATTTAATGCTTCGCCAACATCTAATACTATATTGTCCGTGCCATAGTTAATATCATCCCCTATGCTGATGAAACATGTTGTATGCTGTTATTTTATTTATTTTTGGTAAACTTGATTATTTGCTAGAATAGAATTCATTCATTAGTACAGATTTCTAAATTTATCTTTTTCCCTGTAGATTTAGTTGTGAAGAAGTTTTATTTTTAAAGTAAGTTCTATATTTTGCAACTCTAAAGTAACGAAAATAATAAAAATTTCCAATATTACCTACATTTTTTATAGTCAGAGATCATATCTTTATTCCCTGCATCTGTTATCAAAGCTCTTATTTTTATTACCTACATCTTGATAGATACATGGCATATTGAACAACTGTAAAAATTGACCGAACAGAATGTAATGCAGCCTAAAGAAAACTTTTTCTGGTCGGTATTGATTATTATCAGCTCAAGTTATAAAATGTCCACATTCTTCACATTAGAGGCATAAATTTTTTGGTTTTTATTTATTTATATAAATCGACTTGAATTTTTTGTTCGAATGTTCTATAAATCTACATGTTCATTATAAGGTTGATTTTCCAACTATTTGATCGTAATTCTGTCCAGGAAAAAGTTCTTTGTAGACTCTGTTTCGAGGGAGAGATTAGCCTTGTTCTTCTTCCATGTAGGCATCGCATTCTGTGCAGGTAGGACTAATATGCTAGTTCTCTGCAGCTCATACATATACGTGCTTTCTTTGTTTGCATACTAATTGGTCTTTAATCTGATGCAGCAACTGCTCTGATAAATGTAAGAAATGCCCGATTTGTCGTGTCTCTATTGAGGAACGCTTATCTGTATATGATGTATAGACAGACTTTTACACACCCAAGCTGTAATGTATTTGACTGAGTAGACTCCAAAACACTTACTTTTGGTGAGTTTTGCTTTAATAGAACTAACAGTAGCTAACTTTGATGTCACTGGAATACTCTTTATTTTCTTTCCTTTGGTAAATATACGAGGAAGAAAGCCTTTACTATAATTTCTCTGGTTCCAATGTTGGTATTTCTGTTACAAACGCAGTGATATCTGGTGTTGAGAGCTTGGAGGGTTAACAAATGGTCGTTATGGCTATTTGTATCTTGCTCTGGTGTGCTTTTAAAGTTAAAAATTACATTTTTCTAGACCAGGTAAGCAATTGAAATATATATGTTTAATTTTAGCAACGTAATAGGTACTCTCTCTCTCTCTCTCTCTCTCTCTCTACATAACTAAAATTTGACCTTGCAATGATCCAACGATTGAAATTTTGATTCACCTCTTGAACCACTGATTTGTTCGGATCAACGACCGGGTCAAATATTGATAAGTATGCTTTCGAAAGTTCAAATTTTTATAGAGGAGGAAAACTATAATCAGCATGTTAAATCTCATCATACTCTCATAAGACCCAAATTCTCTGAACGATTTAATAGGCATGTTAAATCTTCTATGTCGTGCTACGACAAATTCTCAGAAAGATTTAGACAATTCTCACAATGTGCTAAAGTCTGATGTAGCTCGAATCTACAAAAACAATAACAATAATTCAAAATGGATTGCTCTTAAGAAAGCAAACGACTTTTTTTATTTCATGAACAATCAAAAAAATTCCTACAAGACGTTTTAAAGTCTTAAATATGAAAAGAACAGATAACCTACTGTAAATAATGAACTAAAAACATTAAGTGTTGTTTTCACTTAGCAAACGAATTCAAATGTCCAAAATCCATCATACGTCATGGCGAAGCGGTGAGTTCAATGGGAATCGTTGTGAGCTTTCTGGAATGGGATTATAGGCCCAAAATGGACACTACATGCAAAAGTTATGCCATTTTCTTCGAACACCGGCAATTCAAGCGTTCCAAATATGCAAGTGCCTGTTCTTCCACACGAACCTCATCATTCTCCCCGGGATCAATGAGATTCGCTCTCGAATCAGAATTGGTAGCACCGCCTTCTATGTTATCGCCATGATATGACAAAAGATGCTTCACATTAAACACATCAGAAGTCCGGATATGATAGGGAAATCGAAGGCGATAGGCGTTGGGAATAATCTTTTCTACAATTTCCACTGGACCAGTGGTACGAGGCGATAATTTCGAATATTCATGAGAAGGCACTCGATCCTTAGTTAGCACCGCCCAAACATAATCCCCAACGTCAAATTTAACAGAACGTCGATGCCGGTCAGCTGCCTCTTTGTATTGACGGTTGGACTCCAACAGATTAGCTCGAGTCTCCTCGTGAACCTGCTGCAAACTACGAACAAAGTCAACAGCCGTCCCATGCAACCGAGTCTTAGAGGGCAGAGTCAATAAGTCAATAGGACTGTGGGGAAGAATACTATGCACAACTTGAAATGGACTGAAACCGGTGCTTCTATTTCTAGCATGATTATAAGCAAACTCTATCTGGCTAAGCAGCTGATCCCATGAGCGAAGATTATCTCCAATTAAGCACCTCAACAAATCACCCAAAGATCGATTCACTACCTCAGTATGCCCATCTGTTTGAGGGTGGTAAGCACTGAAATTGAGCGACCTGTTAACTGACTTCCATAAGCTCCGCCAAAAGTGACTGATGAACCTTATGTCTCTGTCAGACACAATAGAAGTGGGCAAACCATGGAGACGATAAACCTCCCTAAAGAACAGCTGGAAAACCTTGACAGCATCAGTGGTACGCTTACAAGGTATGAAGTGTACCATTTTGGAAAATCGATCTACGACCAC